CTGCACTGTCCACTCACCACATGAGGCTACTGACCAACCACAATTAAAAACATGATTATTTACTTTGAATTAAATTTAAATCGCCATGTGTGGCAAGTGTATACCATACTGGACAGCACAGATCTAACACTTATTAGTTGAATAAACAGTAAATATACATAACTATAAAAAATAACCCTCATTTCACTTACAGATAAGCTTAATTAATCCAAACCTTATAACATACATTCAAGGCTTTAAAATCTGTCCCCATTCAGCTCTGCCAACATCAGCTCATTTTGTCTTTTTATGAACACCTTTTACAGATGCCTTTTCCTCAACCAAAAGACATAAGCTTTTTAACTCTTCCTCCTTCCTTGAAGGTTCCACCTCAACCACCATCTTCTTTGTGAAGCTTTCCCACCCCAACAATCCATTCCACCCTCTACATTTAAAGTACTATGATTGTGCTTATATTATTGATCATAATTTTCTTTTTTGCTTTTGAAGAATGGATATGTATTCTCTCTTTACCTTCCACAAAGCCTCACAAAACTTTTTGCCATCCGTTTATTGAATGAGCAAGAACACTTCAATTTCTGATATTCAGACTATAAACCTTCTAAGCTATACAGAGCTTCAGTTCCAGGGGTACTAATCTGGCAATTTTCCAAGCACTCAATTTACTATACCAGGTGCTTTTCTGGGCTACCGTTGACCACACAGATTACTTTGAATGATTTTGACTGTGTACTGCAAGAAGCTATCAAAAAGACTATTTTGAGGTGGGGGGGGTGAAATGTCTCAGCACTCTTCTGATAGCTGTTTCACAGTACTGAAAAGGTCACTGCAGTTCTGAGATTTTTTTTTTTTTATTTTTTTTTAACGTTTGTTTATCAGCGTGTGCGTGCATGAGCGGGGAAGGGGCAAAGAGAGAGGGAGACACAGAATCCGAAGCAGGCTCCAGGCTCTGAGCTGTCAGCACAGAGCCCGACACGTGGCTCGAACTCACAGACAGCACGATCATGACCTGAGCCGAAGTCAGACGCTCAACCAATTGAGCCACCCAGTAGCCCCCTTTTATTTTTTTTAGTTCTGAGATATTTTAAATACTAGCCAACCAAAAGTTGTAGAATATGAGGACAGTGGTTACAGATACTCAAGAATTTAAGAGAGAAAAAAACCAGTGTCTTTGCTACCCCTCTTCACCACCAATATTGTTTTCAAGTGTTTGCATCAAATTAAAAAATCATCAAATAGAAGATTCAACTAATGAGCTTCCTATAAAGTTTTTGAAATGCACATACACTATTTGAAAAACTTTGTTTCCAGATGAAGCAGTAGGGACATAAAATATTAAAACACAGTACCATCAAATAATTATCTTCCTATTCTGCAGAATAACAACTGTAAGAGTAGTTCTAAACCATACAGGGTTACTAACCCCTTGACAATCTGGTGTAAAATTAGAGAATGTTTCACAAAAAATGCAAATATAAAAATTTTCTACATTTTCAGTGAGTTTATGTACCCACCCAAGCCATCCATCTTATGTCAACCTCAAAGAACAGAGATGGTTTAACATTTTTTTTAAACTGATCTAGAATAGGAGAGAGTAGAATAGGAGAACAGCAATGTAGTGATTCACCCAACGTTTGACAAATTTCAATAAAATGTAAACTACTGGTAAGAATATAATTGGTAATACTGGAAAAATATTGTTTTCCAAATACTCTTTGACTCTGTAATTCTTCTACTGGAACTTGTTAAGAAAATAATCTATGAAGTAAAAGTAATCCAAAACAGGGGCACCTGGGCGGCTTCAGTCAGTTCGGCTCAGGTCATGATCTCACAGTCCGTGAGTTCGAGCCCCGCATCCAGCTCTGTGCAGACAGCTCAGAGCCTGGAGCCTGCTTTGGATTCTGTGTCTCCCCGCTCTCTGCCCCTCTGCCACTCGTGCTCTGTCTCTCTCAAAAACTAAATAAACATTTAAAAAATAAAAAAAAAAAAAAA